GACCTTTCAGGACTGTAGCAGCTACGAACTTGACCTTTCGGAAGGGCTACAGCTACGACTTCTAGAACTCACTAAGACCTCTATTCGACAGGTCCACAGATCGAACCCCTACAACCTACGGACCTACAACAGCCTACCAACTGTTGCGAATACACAGGTCACAGGTTCAACTCTCGGGGTCGACACAGGTACTGTATACAGGTAAGGTAAGACTAGGGATCGAGCCCTGGGATCCGCATTCGCTACTGCTAACAGGTGAGTACCACTTCAGTCCTGCCGGACTAAATTCGAGGTCCTCCGATAATAATTCAGTCCAAGACCGGATTTTTACCCTTCCTTTCTCTTTCGTAGGCTCTCACTATGTCGGGAGCTGTTTCTAGCAGTTCGGTTCTAGTAAACCAGCGGTCGTCCTCGGGTTCTTGATAAGCAAATCGGACCTTATACTGTTTCCGTGGATGACCTCTACCTCCTGTCCTGAATATGTCTTTACCTACAATGCCCTCAATGTCATATCTTCCATCCATGTCCGGAAGGATCATGGATCTTCTTGATGGAAACTGTTGACTTGTGACACACGACAACAACTTTGACGCACGGAACACAAGGTAGGTGTGGAGGTGTGCTGGGATCTCGATTGTATAGGACGGCCCATCCTCTCCGCCCTTAACCTCTAGAACTGGCCATGGTCCCCTGTACGCTGGCAGTAACTTCTGCGAAATGTTTTCCTCGAGAGCAAACTCTTTGGATTTGACCCAGACTAGGTCGCCGACTTTAAACTGTGACGGGCGACGGTGCTTGTTAGCCTGCTCTATCATTCGGTGTTGGGCCTTCCTGAGGTTCTCAACAACGGTAGCTAACAGTTCATTGGGAGTACGACAAGTGGCTAAGTGCACGCTATGATTATATGCACTGGCTACCTTGGGCAACATCTCGTCCCAGTTGACTTGATCTGGTCTAATGTACATGCGCAAAACCTGCTGCAGGATCTTATTCATCTGCTCGGTCTGACCGTCAGTCTCTGGGTGACGGCCAGACGACATTAACAATTTCGACCCGCATACTTTCATAAACTCCTGCCAGTTTTGACTGGTAAACCGGGTGTCCCTATCACTAACTATGGACAATGGGATTCCATGATCATTCAACCAAAAGCAAAAAAAAATTCTGAATTACTAACTCTCTGCGGGCTTCTGCAGGTAAGGGAACAAAAACAACGTATTTGCTAAATATATCCACTATTACCATGACTTGGCTCTTTTCGTGCCTACTTTTGACACCAGCATCCATGAAATCGATGGATACTGAGTCCCCAGGCTGGTCAGGAACACCTAGAGGGGCGCGCGTAGTTGTTTTATTCCTTTGGCAGACTTTGCAACTGCGAACGTACTCTATGCAGTCGACTTTCATCCCTGGCCAAGTATACGCCTGCATCAGATTGGCTAAAGTCTTCTGCCAACCGAAATGTCCCTCTGTGTTGTGCCATTCCCCTAGGATCGCGCTACAGATCTCCTCACTATTAGGGACGCACAAACGGTCTATTACATCGGTCTTCTCGAACAGTAGTCCCTCTGTAGTGCGGTAATGTGGTTCAGTCTCTGGGGCCTCCTTAACTTTCTTGAGGAGGTCACTATAAATAGGGTCCTGCGCATACACCTGTCTTACTTTCTCTTGCAGGTCTCTCCCTATATCCAGGTAGTGAAGTATAGCTCCAAAGTAGTCTGATCTCCTACTCAGAGCATCCGCAACTACGTTATACTTATCTTTGACCGGTTTGAGCTCAAAGTCATATTGATATATCTCAGCGGCCCACCTAGTTAGCTTAGGTGTCATCTTGGCCTGCGTTTTCAGCCACCTAAGGGTCTCGTGGTCTGAATAAACTTTGAAGCGCCTCCCAAGCAGGTAATGCTTCCAGTGCTCTAGGGCCTGCCCGAGAGAGTAGAGTTCTCTCTCGTAAGTCGAGGTAGCTACTTTCTCTGAGGGCATCCTCGCTGACATGAACTCTACGGGTCTATAGCCATTGTCGTCATCTTGCTATAACACGACGCCTATACCATACTGATTTGCGTCTGTGGTGACGACAAATGGCAAGGACATATCTGCTACCTTGAGGACGGGATACTCTATCAACGCTCGCTTTAACTTCTTCAGAGCGGAGGTACAATCTTTGTCCCACTTCCAAATCGCTTCTTTCTTCAACAACCTGCGAAGAGGGGCGGCGATAGTAGAAAAGTTCCTTACAAACTTCCTATAATAATTAGCTAGGCCTAGGAACGACCGTAACTCTGTCATTGTGCGGGGCGTCGGCCAATCTCTAATCGTCGCTATCTTATTATCCTCAAGTCTAATTCCATCTCCGTCTAAAACATGGCCCAAGTACAGGACTTGTGTCTTGGCCCACTCGCACTTCTTCGCATTGATCTTGAAGTTAGCCTCTCTTAGCTTCTCCAAGACCTGCCTCAAATGACCTTGATGCTCTTGGAGGGTCCTACTAAAAACTAAGATATCGTCTAGGTAAACTACAACGAATCTGTCCAACCACGGCCTTAACACATCATTCATGCAACGTTGGAATGTGGCCGGCGCATTGGTCAGTCCAAAGGGCATCACGATGAACTCATAATGCCCATATCTAGTCCGGAAGTTAGTCTTGTACTGGTCATCAAGGTGAACTTCTATCTGATGATATCCGAACTTCAAATCTATTTTTGAGAAATACCTACAGCCCTGCGCCTGATCTAAGAGATCGTCTATCCTGGGCAGTGGCTCGACATTCTTCACTGTAATGGCATTCAGACCCCTATAGTCGATGCACATACGCAACTCTCCCTCCTTTTTGGGGACATAAAACGGGTGCTCCGAAAGGAGACGAACTGGGCCCTAATCCAACCCTTTTCGAGGAGTTCGTCTAGCTGCCTACGCAACTCCTCTAACTCCCTTGGGGACATTATGTAAATCGCACCCTTAGGAGTCCTATTGCCAGGCTCTATCTCTATACGGTGCTGGATCGACTGCGACACTACTCCTGTTGGCGGCTCTGCCAAATCTTTAAACTCTTCCAGCACCTTGGCAATAGCTGGGTCTATTGACTTCTCTTCAGTAGGCTCAGTGACAGGCCTCACGTAAGCTACGAAAACCTGCCCTTCTAACTGCTCCTTTACTAATCGCGCAAACGTGGGAGCACTGAAACAACAACGTGCCAGGGAGTTATCTACTCCTGACACATGAAACAGGCGAGCAGTCTTAACTTCGCCTGATGGACTAGGGAGCCTACACTCATGCTCTCTTAAGTGGAGTGTGGCCCCTGCTGCCTCTCCCCAGTCCATACCTAGGACTATGTCGAAGGGGAGGTTGTCCTCGACGAGGAGAGTCAGGGAATGGAGTACTTTCTCTACTTTACCATCCTTCTCTGGGCGGAGATACGCCTGGACTCTCTCGACGTAATCCTCAACACGCATCGTGCGGTTGTCTGCGAGGATACTAACTATGGGGTCTTCCAACTTCTGGACTTTCAACTAGCCTCAGGTTCTTCAGCGCTCTGCGGCTAATATAGCTACGGGTAGCCCCTGTGTCTATAAGGGCCCCTACTCTGCTTCTAAAAACTTCTGAATCTACCAACACAAATTGTCCTTTACTCTCCCTCTTCATCTTGGCCCAGGCCAGCATCTCTCTTTCAACTCCTCTGCCAGACCTGTGAGGGAAGTGCCTAGAGAGACTCTAACACAAGCGGTCTCTGGACAGCTAACTAGGCACTGACCTGCAACCTCTGCCAAAGGCTCATGTGGTGTGGGAGTTTCCTGATGGTGCACGCACACTTCCCCACATGGCCTAATGGTAAGGGCAATTGCAACCCCTGCCAGCGGCTGCCTTTGACCCTTGGGGCAGCAAACTGGGCTTCCCTAATATTTAATCATATGGGCAGCGTCACCGCAATAGATGCACTGCCCCTGCTCCATTCGCTGTTGCCATACTCTCTGGTCCAAGCCCAAATCTTCCCAAGGCCAGCCCTGTGGCCAACCTGGGTGCCAACCTCCTGTCTGTTGAGGTGATCTTCCACCTCTACGCTGTGGTGACCAACTAGGCCCTGAACGATTCGGCATAAGGATTAGACAAGGGAAAAAAGTGGAAGGGTCTTACCATCTCAGGACAGGTCAGGGCTTAGGATCACCTGATCCTTACTTTAGATGAGGGTGGTACTGACGAAGTCCCCTACAGTCAGATAGAGTGGGGGCTTGAAGAGGAAGACAGTAGTGTAGGCCAAGGGAGGACCTATGCTGTTGTCGCGACTGGAGGGAGGCCTCAAGCTAGAGGAGGAGGCCAGGGCCAAGGGGGCCGGGCCGTGGGTGGTCGAGGTCCGGGCGCACTGGGGGTTGGCGGCCAAAGGAACCGCCAAGAGGGAGAAAGTGGAAACTGGCATGGATTTTGCCTAGAACAGGACCACCTCTCTACTCAACACGTCATACGTGATAGTGGCCTGTCGGGTCTTCTCAAAGAAGTGCCCTCGTAAGGGCTCTGGCATGGCACGATAAAACAAGTTAACTAATTGGGTCTCAGTGACCCCGTGGTCTGGGATGGCTACCAAATCATCCATAACTGCTTTGAGTGCTCTCGCACTCTTCCACTGTCGTGAGTGGATTGTCTACAGTTTGTCGGAGGCCCTGACGCCTCGTGTGACGTCAGCAAATCTCTCTCTCAGGAGTTTGAGGAAGGTGTGAAGAGGGGTGAGTTTAGAATACGCAACCATATTGTCTTCACAATCGGCTGCGTGCGCGAGGTACCTGGCAAAAATGGCCACTTCATCTTTTAACACATGAAAGGCCACGAGGACTTGTTCTTCTGGAGCTATGTTTTGCAAATACACGTATGTGTTGATACTTGCCTCCCGGTTATCAAAGTTTTCGTCCTTTTTCCCGCCATAAGAGTCATGAAACTTTAGCCTGACAGGCTCTTTGCGGGAACGCCCCTCACTCTCTGCAGCGGCCACTACTTCGGCGCCTTCAATGGCGCCTGCGCAGAATTTATTTGCGTTGTCCTTTAGCTTCCTGACTTCGGGCCCTACATGGGTCATTACATCCCGCGCGAAGTCCCTGAAACCATACCGGATGGAGTGGAGGGCCATGTCTTGGCCCTTAACAGACTGATGGTGTTCAGTCCAGGCCCTACCTAGGAGCTCGATGCTCCCAAGGATCTTGTATAATTTAGCCTGAATGTCAGGCTGGTCCTCTACTCTTGTCTACACGTCTGTAAACTTTCCACCTCTCTGGCCATCTTGTTGGCTTCCTCCGTCCTCCTCTTCTTCTCCCTTGTCAGGCGTAACTTCCAGTCCAACCTCTCTTCTCATTCTCTATGGCCTGACGTTCTAGGGGATCACTCGTTGCCTCGATCTCCCTGATTGCTGCTTCCTTCTCCTCCTGAGGTATATAGAGCATCGCCTCTTCGTATTCTCCCATAGATAAATTAGCCACCCACTCACTTATCCTCCTTTCCACCCACCGGTCATCTTCTTTCGTGCCACTGCTCTCTGCTCCTTCCCCCAATCTTCTTCGTTTGAGGGGCTCTTCTTCCGGTTGCTCCTCCTCTTCAACCTCTTCCTCCTTTGCAACTCTCATTCTCTCTTCCTCTTGCTGCAATCTTTTCATCTCCTCCTCCAACTTCTTCTTCGCCGCCTGCTCCTCGGCTATCATCTTCATCTTTGCCTGCCTAAGGAGCTCCTTCTTCTCCCTTCTCTCTCTTCGGATGGCGGCAACCTGCTCCTCTTGAGCCTTACCATACGGCATGGTGCTCTTCCCACTGCGAGTATCAACCATGGTGATAAGTGCACAACCGAACAACGGTTCCAAACCTCACCACTTAGACCTCGGCACCCGACTGACTAGACCTAGACTCAATCTAAAGGACCACAAAACCCAAGTAGGATCCTGTCAACTAGGGTTTCTAGCCTAGACCTAAATTATGGTTGTCACTACAGGACTCGTTGCTGATCAGGAGGCATTTAAGGAGATCCCCCGTAACTCCTCAGGAATTATTTAACGTCGCAGACAAGACGAAGCAATCAGCAAGTCCTTTCAAGACTTAGACAGCCTGTTGTGCAGCCCACGACTCGGATTTTGGGCCTACCGTGCCACACCGAGCAGCCCGCCGGTCAGTACCGGTCCTTGGGAGGGTTCGTGTCCTCCACGACAGACGAGTCGTCAGACACAACCTTAGCCCTACTCAGCCCGTGTGGGTTTGGTCAACAAGGCCCTATCCTTCATACACGGAGTCCTATCACCTGGACAGAAGAGACTCAATGGAGAAAGAAGAGACAGACAAACTCAGCAAGTACCATAGGGTGAGTGCATATCCATAGGGCGAGGGGATAGGCTAAGGGCTTGGCGAGAATATACCAACTCCAGCTTGGTCAAAGTCGCAATCAACAGCCTTGGTCAACGCCTTGGTCAACGCCTTGGTCAACGCCTTGGTCAACGCTCAAATCAACTTCAGTCAACTTCATGGTCAACACTTTGGTCAACCTCCAACTCGGCTATGACTGCCGCCTTCTTCTTCCTCACCACCCTTCTTCTTCTTCCTCCTTTCTTTCTCCTTCCTCGTCGTGCTCTTCTTTCACCCCGACTATGTCTTCCCTCTTCTTCTTCGTCCCTCCTTCCTCTTCCTCAACTATCACTTCTCTCCTCTCTTTCGCCTCTCCCTCGTTCTCTCTTGTTCATCTTCTTGCCTCCTTTCTTCGTGTCCAAGCTCCGCGGCTATGGCCGCTTTCTTCCTTCTTGGACCGCACAACCAATCTTGTATCGCTCCCCTCTCTCTCTCTCTCTCTCTCTCTCTCTCTCCTGTCTCTTATACACATCTAGATGTGTATAAGAGACAGACTACGTTGGTCTTCTCGAACAGTAGTCCCTCTGTAGTGCGGTAATGTGGTTCAGTCTCTGGGGCCTCCTTAACTTTCTTGAGGAGGTCACTATAAATAGGGTCCTGCGCATACACCTGTCTTACTTTCTCTTGCAGGTCTCTCCCTATATCCAGGTAGTGAAGTATAGCTCCAAAGTAGTCTGATCTCCTACTCAGAGCATCCGCAACTACGTTATACTTATCTTTGACCGGTTTGAGCTCAAAGTCATATTGATATATCTCAGCGGCCCACCTAGTTAGCTTAGGTGTCATCTTGGCCTGCGTTTTCAGCCACCTAAGGGTCTCGTGGTCTGAATAAACTTTGAAGCGCCTCCCAAGCAGGTAATGCTTCCAGTGCTCTAGGGCCTGCCCGAGAGAGTAGAGTTCTCTCTCGTAAGTCGAGGTAGCTACTTTCTCTGAGGGCATCCTCGCTGACATGAACTCTACGGGTCTATAGCCATTGTCGTCATCTTGCTATAACACGACGCCTATACCATACTGATTTGCGTCTGTGGTGACGACAAATGGCAAGGACATATCTGCTACCTTGAGGACGGGATACTCTATCAACGCTCGCTTTAACTTCTTCAGAGCGGAGGTACAATCTTTGTCCCACTTCCAAATCGCTTCTTTCTTCAACAACCTGCGAAGAGGGGCGGCGATAGTAGAAAAGTTCCTTACAAACTTCCTATAATAATTAGCTAGGCCTAGGAACGACCGTAACTCTGTCATTGTGCGGGGCGTCGGCCAATCTCTAATCGTCGCTATCTTATTATCCTCAAGTCTAATTCCATCTCCGTCTAAAACATGGCCCAAGTACAGGACTTGTGTCTTGGCCCACTCGCACTTCTTCGCATTGATCTTGAAGTTAGCCTCTCTTAGCTTCTCCAAGACCTGCCTCAAATGACCTTGATGCTCTTGGAGGGTCCTACTAAAAACTAAGATATCGTCTAGGTAAACTACAACGAATCTGTCCAACCACGGCCTTAACACATCATTCATGCAACGTTGGAATGTGGCCGGCGCATTGGTCAGTCCAAAGGGCATCACGATGAACTCATAATGCCCATATCTAGTCCGGAAGTTAGTCTTGTACTGGTCATCAAGGTGAACTTCTATCTGATGATATCCGAACTTCAAATCTATTTTTGAGAAATACCTACAGCCCTGCGCCTGATCTAAGAGATCGTCTATCCTGGGCAGTGGCTCGACATTCTTCACTGTAATGGCATTCAGACCCCTATAGTCGATGCACATACGCAACTCTCCCTCCTTTTTGGGGACATAAAACGGGTGCTCCGAAAGGAGACGAACTGGGCCCTAATCCAACCCTTTTCGAGGAGTTCGTCTAGCTGCCTACGCAACTCCTCTAACTCCCTTGGGGACATTATGTAAATCGCACCCTTAGGAGTCCTATTGCCAGGCTCTATCTCTATACGGTGCTGGATCGACTGCGACACTACTCCTGTTGGCGGCTCTGCCAAATCTTTAAACTCTTCCAGCACCTTGGCAATAGCTGGGTCTATTGACTTCTCTTCAGTAGGCTCAGTGACAGGCCTCACGTAAGCTACGAAAACCTGCCCTTCTAACTGCTCCTTTACTAATCGCGCAAACGTGGGAGCACTGAAACAACAACGTGCCAGGGAGTTATCTACTCCTGACACATGAAACAGGCGAGCAGTCTTAACTTCGCCTGATGGACTAGGGAGCCTACACTCATGCTCTCTTAAGTGGAGTGT